AAGCCCATTGTGCTGTGCCCCTCAGCAGCCCTCGAACGTGGCGACCGTTTCACAGATGGCGAGGTCCCATTGGAGTCTGCGGTGAGTACCCACTGTGCTGGGCCCCTTCAGACGCCCTCGAAAGTGACGATCGTTTCACAGATCGCAGCCCCCCAGTGATGGCGAGGTCCCAGTTGAATGTGGCGACAATTTCACAGATCGCAGCCCCCCAGGGATGGCGAGGTCCCATTTGAGTCTGCGGTGAGTACCCACTGTGCTGGGCCCCATCAGCAGCCCTCGAAAGTGGCGACACTTTCACAGATCGCAGCCCCCAGCAGCCCTCGAAACGCAGCGACGAGCGAGGTAAGAAAGTGGCGACAGATTCACAGATCGCAGCCCCCCAAGGATGGCGAGGTCTAACTTGAACCCGCCGTGGATACCCACTGTGTTGGGCCCCCCAGCAGCCCTCGAAAGTGGCGACAGTTTCAGATCGCAGCCCCCCAGGGATGGCGAGGTCACATTTGAATCCGCCGCGGGTAACCCACTGTGCTGGGCCCCCCAGCAGCCCTCGAAAGTGGCGACGGTTTCACAGATCGCAGCCCCCCAGGGATGGCGAGGTCACATTTGAATCCGCCGTGGGTGCAGACAGTGCTGGGCCCTCCAGCAGCCCTCGAAAGTGGCGACAGTTTTTTACAGATCGCAGCTCACAAGGGATGGCGAGGTCACATTTGAATTCGCCGTGGGTACCCACTGTGCTGGGCCCCCCAGCAGGCCTCGAAAGTGGCGACCGATTCACAGATCGCAGCCCCCCAGGGATGGCGAGGTCCCATTTGAATCCGTCGCGGGTGCAGAGTATGCTGGGCCCCCCAGGAGCCCTCGAAAGTGGCGACAGTTTCACAGATCGCAGCACCCCAGGGATGGCGAAGTTTCATTTGAATCCGCCGCGGGTGCAGACTGTGCTCGGCCCCCCAGCAGCCCTCGAAAGTGGTGACAGTTTCACATATCGCAGCCCCCCAGGGATGGCGAGGTCCCATTTGAATCCGCCGCGGGTGCAGACTGTGCTGGGCACCCCAGCAGCCCTCGAAAGTGGCGACAGTTTCACAGATCGCAGCCCCCCAGGGATGGCGAGGTCCCATTTGAATCAGCCGCGGGTGCAGACTGTGCTGGGCCCCCCAGCAGGCCTCGAAAGTGGCGACAGTTTCACAGATCGCAGCCCCCCAAGGATGGCGAGGTCCCATTTGAATCAGCCGCGGGTGCAGACTGTGCTGGGCCCCCCAGGAGCCTTCGAAAGTGGTGACAGTTTCACAGATCGCAGCCCCCCAGGGATGGCGAGGTCCCATTTGAATCCGCCGCGGGTGCCCACCGTGCTGGGCCCCCCAGCAGGCTTCGAAAGTGGCGACAGTTTCACATATCGCAGCCCCCCAGCTGGCACGCAGTGGCGAGCGAGGCGAAAGGCAAGGGGGAAGAGAGGGGCGGGAGGGGGCGGGAAGGAAGGAAGGAAGTAAGGAAGGCGACGCGCGAGCAGTGCTCTATTCAAAACGAGAACCCAACGCAGGAGGGCTGGGAACAAACAAAAAAAACAAAAAACAAAAAAAAAAAAAAAAAAAAAAAAAAAAAAAAAAAAAAAAAACGCGGAAGGTGTTTTGACCGTTTTCGTCTTCCAGGGCCATCACCGCGCCCCACGACCACCAAAGAGCGACTCCAGATGTAAACCTGATCCCCAGGCAAGGGATAAAAGAAAAAACAAAATTACGCTACCGAGGAACCCACATACTTGATGTAAGTCTTATGTGTTTGCCTGCCGCGGAACTGCTACGCCTGCCGCGCTTTGCGAGCGTGCGACCCTTGCGCACCCCCTCTGGTGTCGAGGAAATGCTACGCCTGCCGCGCTTTGCGAGCGTGCGACGGATAGAGACCGCACCCCTTGCGCACCCCCCCTGGTGTCGAGGAAATGCTACACTTGCCGCGCTTTGCGAGCGTGCGACGGATACAGACCGCACCCCCTGCGCACCCCCCTGGTGTGGAGGAAATGCTACGCCTGCCGCGCTTTGCGAGCGTGCGCCGGATACAGACCGCACCCCCTGCGCACCCCCCCTGGTGTGGAGGAAATGCCACGCCTGCCGCGCTGTGCGAGCGTGCGACGGATAGAGACCGCACCAACTGCGCACCCCCTCTCGTGTCGATGAACTCCCACGCCTGCCGCGCTTTGCGAGCGTGAGACGGATAGAGACCGCACCCCCTGCGCACCCCCTGGTGTCGAGGAAATGCCACGCTTGCCGCGCTTTGCGAGCGTGCGACGGATAGAGACCGCACCAACTGCGCACCCCCTCTCGTGTCGATGAACTACCACGCCTGCCGCGCTTTGCGAGCGTGCGACGGATGGAGACCGCATCCCCTGCGCACCCTCCTGGTGTCGAGGAAATGCCACGCCTGCCGCGCTTTGCGAGCGTGCGCCGGATACAGACCGCACCAATTGCGCACCCCCTCTGGTGTCGAGGAAATGCCACGCCTGCCGCGCTTGCGAGCGTGCGACGGATACAGACCGCACCCCCTGCGCACCCCCTGGTGTCGAGGAAATGTCACGCCTGCCGCGCTTTGCGGGCGTGCGACGGATAGAGACCGCACCCCCTGCGCCCCCCCTGGTGTCGAAGGAATGCCACGCCTGCCGCGATTTGCAAACGTGCGACGGATAGAGACCGCACCCCCAGCGCACCCCCTCTCGTGTCGATACACTACCACGCCTGCCGCGCTTTGCGAGCGTGCGACGGATAGAGACCGCACCCCCTGCGTCCGCCCCTGGTGTGGAGGAAATGCCACGCCTGCCGCGCATTGCGAGCGTGCGACGGATGGAGACCGCATCCCCTGCGCACCCTCCTGGTGTCGAAGAAATGCCACGCTTGCCGCGCTTTGCGAGCGTGCGCCGGATAGAGACCGCACCCTGCGCACCCCCCCTGGTGTCGAGGAAATGCCACGCCTGCCGCGCTTTGCGAGCGTGCGACGGATAGAGACCGCACCCCCTGCGCACCCCCCTGGTGTGGAGGAAATGCCACGCCTGCCGCGCTTTGCGAGCGTGCGACGGATAGAGACCGCACCCCCTGCGCACCCCCCTGGTGTCGAGGAAATGCCACGCCTGCCGCGCTTTGCGAGCGTGCGACGGATAGAGACCGCACCCCCTGCGCACCCTCCTGGTGTCGAGGAAATGCCACGCCTGCCGCGCTTTGCGGGCGTGCGACGGATAGAGACCGCACCCCCTGCGCACCCCCTCTGGTGTCGAGGAAATGCCACGCCTTCCGCGCTTTGCGAGCGTGCGACGGATAGAGACCGCACTGAAAGACCACCCCCTGCGCACCCCCTGTGGTGTCGAGAAACTGCTGCGCCTGCCACGTATCCGACGCGCACTAGCGTTGTATGGTGTGTGTGTGTTGTGTGCGAGTGTGTGCATGCGTGCGGCTGTATGTAGACGCGTGTCTCACGTACTTGCCGTGCATGTGTTGAGCGCGGGTGAGGAGAGGAAGATGGGGAGGGAGGAGGGGAGGAAGGTGAGGAGGAGGAGACGCGGGTGCGCCGCGGCAGGGAAGAAAACCAGAACCCCACGAAACATGTGGGGAACAAACAAAACACAAAACAACAAAGAAAACGACGACGACGTCGGAGGTCTGGGTGTTTGGGTCTGGTCCATGGGCTCGGCCGACAGGTGGCCTCTCCTCCGTCTCAACGAGCCTCAGGGCATGTGCTTGCCCAGTGCGTGCATGCCCCCGCTCCGCCGAGGACGCCCGTGGGCAGGTCGCCAGCTGGCGGAGGCACGGCGCCCTCACCACCAGCCCAGACGCCCAACACCCCGCCCCGTACCCATATGGCGACCCCCCCCCAAAGAGGGGAGCCCCGACGCGAGCCTGAGGATCCTCTCCCCGGCCCCGCTCCCCCCCATCGACGGCACGGAGCCCGTGCCTGTACTCGTCACGCCGCCCCTCGCCGTGTCGGAGGGCTGGGGGTGGACAAGCGCAGGGGTGCTGGCCGAAACGCTGGCCGATGCGAGCCTGGCTGAAGCGCTGCGGCCAGCGCTGCGGGGGACCGCGCCGATTCGGGCAGAAATCCCTGGCCCCCGCCGATCTGATTTTGTCAATCCACGGCCCCAGGAGTCCCGACCGCTGCCGCAGGGGTAGTGCCTCGTCCTGGCTGCGCTTCGGATAGTCCCGAGAAGGGCCACCCGCAGGCCGAGGGCGAGGCGGAAACCGCCAGGACTGAAAGAGCCACAACGCCACAGGTCGAGAAGCTGCCACAGTTTAGCTGCTCTGATACGCACGTTTTGAAACGTAACACGTGCCGTGTTCAAAACGTCCGTGTTCAAAATGCACGTGTTCAGTCTGCGTGTTGAGCCCCGTATCAATACGCTGCGTGTTGCGTGTTGCGTATCGGGGCAGCTAAGTTGCACAGTGCTGGCGCCAGCGCTCGGGAAACAAACACTAGCATAAACCTAAAAAAAGACTCGGAGGTCCGCGCGGATGTTTTGGATCAGCGTTAGACCCCCCCCTCTTTGGCGCGCGGAGCGCGCCAGGGGCGGCGCAGGAGGCTCCGCCAGGGGGCTCCAGCCTCGATCCGAGAAATCTGCGCGGACCTCCGAGCTCTTGTGCTTACAGTGAGCGGCTTGAATAAGGAACGCTTCCTTTTCAAAAGGGGCTCGGTCGTTCCTCTTCCCCTCGCCGCGCTGCGCCGCCGAGAAGTGTTCCCAAGCGCACGTCCCGAGGATCCTCTTTTGGGGGGGGGGGGCGGGGCCCCACAGCTCGAGGAGCAGAGGGCGAGGCAGGAGGAGGAGGAGGAGGAGGAGAGGAGGAGGGAGGAGGAGGGAGGAGGAGGAGGAGGAGGAGGAGGAGGAGGAGGAGGAGGAGGAGGAGGAGGAGGAGGAGGGAGGAGGAAAAAAAAGAGGAGGAGGAGGGAGTTGGAGGGAGGAGGAGGGAGGAGGAGGGAGGGAGAAAGTGTTCGTAAGCGCACGTCCCGAGGATCCTCGAACCCCCCGCGGCGAGGCCCTGGGCGCGAGCATCCGGGCGAGCCAGCTGCGCGCCGGCGGCGGGGACCAGAGCCAGGCTGGGGTCGGCAGCGTCCCCGTCAGCCGCCGCAACTCCAGGCGTGCGGCGGCCCCGGCGAGGAGGGAGGAGGGAGGAGGAGCAGGAGGAAGAGGAGAGGGAGGAGGAAGAGGAGCAGGAGGAGGAAGAGGAGGAGGAGGAGGAGGAGCAGGAGGAGGAGCAGGAGGAGGAGGAGAAGGAGGACGACCGAGGCGTTCCGTCGGGGGCCTGAGCCCGCGGAGTCGGGTCCCCCCCAGGCCAGTTCACGAAGAGCGTTTTGCCGAAGGGCCTTTCGCGCTCTCTTCCTTCTCGCCTTCGCGCCTCCACTCGCTCCCCGGGTCCCCACCCACTTGCGCACCGCGGTCTGGCTGTCTTGGACCGCGGCTGCCGAAGGAGTTTCCGTCCACCTCCGAGAAGCGCAGGAGCTGGAGGAGCAGGAGCGGGAGGCCCCCCCGCCCCACGGCAATCGGCGCGGCACGTACCCGCCATTGGTTGCGGCACCGGCTTCTTGCCATCCTCAGCTGCAGCGCGCCAGCCGCCCAGCTGTGCGTTCCAAGGGGCCTGGCTTGTTGGCAGGCCCCCGCTTTCGCTCGGCAGCTTGATGGCCACTCATACACTCGAGGCGCAGGCATGGAAAGTGATGGTGGCGAACCGCGCGCGCTGCGATGTTTCCACGAGGCCTCTGGTCTCGAGAACATGCCATGGTTCGGAGCTGCGTTTCTTCGCGGGCGCCGAATCTCTGCAAAGCCGGCAAACAGCCGTGCTGATGAGAGTGGAGCAGAGGAGAGTGGAGCGGAGTGAGGCAGCGAAGAGCAGAGTGCAGTAGAGGAGAGGGGATGAGAGGAGAACGGAGCGGAGTGGAATGATTGACATGTCGACAAGGGTAGGTAGAGTCGAGCAGAGAGCGGAGAGAAGTGGGAAGCAGTAGAGACCGGAAGAGGGGAGAGGAGAGCGGAGGAGAGGAGAGAGATGCAGCCTGAACGCGCGCAGGCTGAACTCGCGCTTAAAGTTGCCCGAATCGTTTTCCGAAAGCCCGATTTGGAGTCGCTGGCAGGTATGGTGTCGCATCGCAGCACGGCGCGCGCGGCGGTGTCCGAGGCCGCCGCCGCCGGGGAGGCAGCGGCGGCATTCCGCGCCCTGGCACGCTGCAGCGTTGGGGGGAGCTGCGGCCAGGAATGTTGGCGCAGCGCGTCGTTCCGCTGTTCTGCAAGGGCTCCCTCGAGGGCGCGAAGTTATTCGCGCTTCGCGCTTCGCGGTCCTCGTTCCTTCTCCCCCTCCTCCTCGTCCTCCTATTCTCCCTTTGGGAGGGCGGCGCGAGAGCGCGAAGTTATTCGCGCTTCGCGCTTCGCGCAGCGCGAAGCGCGAAGTTGGGAGCCCTAGCCACGCCCTTGTCCCCGAGCGTCCACGTCCCGAGCTTCTCCCGGCCCCCGACCCCGCGGAGCCGAGCGACACGCTGTCTGGTTGCAGGGGCCGCCGCCGCGGCACGCGCATCAAGAGTTCTTGACCGTAGGGCAGGCGTCGTTCGAGTGATCCCGCCCACTCTCACGAGTTAGTTCCCAGCGCGTTGAATTTATGTCTGTCCACAGAACGGGATGACCACGAAGACGTTGATCCTCAGGTGGCAATCGCAGGGTTTGGCCAACCGTTCGTTCTACAATCGGCGAGGGGTGGCGTCTGGTACAGTGGAGACCGAAGAGGGGGATGAGGCAAGCGATGTGCGTTCCCACCATAGTTGAAATCGTACCCCTCTCACACATCCGTTCCCATTGCGCTACTTTGTTCTATATCCGCAGACGCGTGTCATAGCGGACCTGGAACTCCCAAAAAATTAGTTTGACGATGGACCCAACCATATGCAGTTGCGAGTACCGCAGTGTGGGTACCGGTTCTGGTGGAGCTCCTTCTGGGACCACGGAACGCTGTGTTGGGTGGCGTTGACGCATGCGGCCTGTGCCAGGCCACGAAGAGCTGTCCTGGGTGGCGTTGACGCATGCGGCCTGTGCCACTGGAGCCTTCGGTGGAGCTCGCTACGGGGCCACGAAACGCTGTCCTGGCTGGCATTGACGCGTGCGGCCTGTGGCACTGGAGCCATCGGTGGAGCTCCTTATGGGGGCCACGAGACGGTGTCCTGGCAGGCGTTGACACATGCGGCCTGTGCCACTGGAGCCTTCGGTGGAGCTCCCTATGGGGCCACGGAACGCTGTCCTGGCTGGCGATGACGCATGCGGCCTGTGCCAGTGGAGCCTTCTGTGGAGCTCCCTATGGGGTCACGAAACGCTGTTCTGGGTGGCGTTGACGCATGCGGCCTGTGCCACTGGAGCCTTCGGTGGAGCTCCTTGTGGGGGTCACGAAACGCTGTCCTGGCTGGCGTTGACGCATCCGGCCTGTGTCACTGGAGCCTTCGGTGGAGCTCCCACGCGTGCGGCCTGTGCCAGTGGAGCCTTCTGTTGAGCTCGCTATGGGGCCACCAAACGCTGTCCAGGGTGGCGTTGACGTATTCGCCTTGTGCCAATGGAGCCTTCGGTGGAGCTCCCATTGGGGCCACGAAACGCTGTCCAGGGTGAAGATGACGCATGCGGCCTGTGCCACGGGAGCATTCGGTGGAGCTCCCTATGGGGGCCACGAAACGCTGTCCTGGCTGGCGTTGACGCGTGCGGCCTGTGCCAGTGGAGCCTTCTGTGGAGCTCGCTATGGGGCCACCAAACGCTGTCCTGGGTGGCGTTGACGCATGCGGTCATTGCCACTGGATCCTTCGGTGGAGCTCGCTTTGAGGCCACGAAACGCTGTGTTGTGTGGGTGAAACGCATGCGGGTTGAGGCGGATGGGAAGAGGGAGGAGGGGAGGTGGAGGAGGAGAGGAGACGCGGGGCGCTGTCTCTTCAAAACGAGGACCCAACACCACAGGATAGTTGGAAAATACCGATCATGTTATGCACGATCGGAAAGAGAGAGAGAGAGAGAGAGAGAGAGAGAGAGCTGCGCACATAGGACGAGGGGGAGGAAGACGACGACGACAACGAGGACGAGGTGGCAGATGAGCAAGAGGATGAGAAGGAGATATATGAAGAGGATGAGGAAGGAGGAGGAGGACGACGAGGACGAACAGCAGCAGCGAGGTGAAACGAGCGGGAGGAGCAGGGGGACCAGGGCAGACAGAGGACGGGAAAGGAGGGGGGCGACAACCAGAAAAGTAGCCCGCGCTGGGGCGACAACGCCTCTTTGAACAACGGGAGCAAAGCGCCGATCCTAAAATAGAGCCAACGTTGCAGCGGCAGTGCCACTTTGAGACACCGACGCTCTGGTTTGAAAACGTTCGAGAGGCCATGACATTAAATTCTGCGTGCAGGAACAATCATACGCGGAGGGGGCGGACTAATTATTCCCCGGCCATTTTCGGGGGAGAGAGGAGAAAAGTATTCAGATTGAGCAGTTGTCGAAGGAGAAGGAGAAGGAGGAAATGGAGCAAGAAGAGGAGCAGCAGCAGCAACAGGACGAGCAAGAGGAGCAGGAGGGAGCAGGAGGAACTGAAGGGACATGAGGACGCACAGGAAGCAAAAAGGAGGGGTCCACAACAACGAGAAAGAAACCACATTCAGAAAAGCGGCCCGCGCTGGGGCGAGAACGCCGCTTTGGACGGGGGAAGCAAAGCGCCGATCCTAAAACGAAGCCAACGCTGCAGCGGAAGCATGCAGACGTGCCATGTTTCATCGTTTTATCTCGACGGCGTTCGCACTGAATCAGTCAGTAAACGATTGTGAATAGTGACGTTTCAATGGGCATAACATTTCGGGCAGTGTCCAACGTTTGATTCTCAAGCTCATTGCATCCGTAGCCGCGTTGGCTCCAGTGGCGCGTTTTCAGAGCGCGCCATGGCGTGGGCGGATTCCGGTTGTGGACCGACGACCGACGACGACCGACCGACCGACCGACCGACCGACCGACCGACGACCGACGCCAGCACCGATCGACCGACCGAGACGACAAGCGGGATGGACCGTCCGACCGACGACCGAGACGACGACGACCGACGGACCGTCTGACCGACAGAAGAGCGCGCGGATTGACCCAGTTTGGGAGCGAGGCGTGGATACACTGCTAGGACCACCGCCCACGGCCCGTCAGCCCGCCCTTCCCCCCGATTTATTTTCATTGTGAAACCTATAACCCATGTGAGGCTTCAGCCTTCAATTTTCCGAGGGAGGGTGTTCCAGCCGCCTATGCCGGCAAGAATGGGTGGTTCCAGCTTTTAATTTCTACCAGGGAAGATGCTCCAGCCGCCCACGGGTGCGGTTCCAGCCTTCAGTTTTTACGAGGGAAAGTGTTCCAGCCGCCCATACCGACAAGAAGGGGTGGCTCAAGTTTTAAATTTTGTACAAGGGAAAGTGTTCCAGCCGCCCACGGTGTCGGATGCAGCCTTTAATGTTCATCCAACGCGAGTGTTCCAGCCGCACGCGGCGTGGGTTCCAGCTCAGCGAGAGTGGGCTCCCGATGGGGCCACGAAACGCTGTCCTGGGTGGGGGAAACGCATGCGAACGGTGCCGCTGGGGCCTTCGGTGGAGCTCCCGGTGGGGCCAAGAAACGATGTCATTGGTGCCGTTGGCGCATGCGGACCCTGCCACTGGGGCTTTCGGTGGAGCTCCCTGTGGGGCGCCACGAACCGTGTGAGGGGTGTGCCTACATGGGTGGCGTTGACGCATGCGGACTTTGCCATTGGGGCCTTCGGTGGAGCTCCCTGTGGGGCCACGAAACGCTGTCCTAGGTGGCGTTGACGCAGGCGGACCCTGCCACTGCAGCCTTCGGTGGAGCTCCCTATGGGGGCCACGAAACGCTGTTTTGGGTGGCGTTGACGCATGCGGACCCTGCCACTGGAGCCTTCGGTGGGGCCCTCTCTGGGGCCACGAAACGCTGTCCTGGGTGGCGTCGGCGCATGCGGACCCTGCCACTGGAGCCTTCGGTGGGGCTCCCTATGGGGCCACGAAACGTTGCCCGGGGTGGCGTCGACGCATGCGGACCTTGCCATTGGAGCCTTCGGTGGAGCTCTCCTTGTGGGGCCACGAAACGTT